CGGATCGCATGCAGCAATCTTTGAACCTTTTGATGGTAGCAGTTCTCCGTAATGCCAAGGTCTGAAGACCAGCCAGGCGGTGGACCTCAGAATTTCTAGTACGCGGTAGACTTTTTTTTTTTTTTTTTTTTTTATTATAGTCACTTTAACACTCTTGGGTCATTCGTGACTTGTCTGGGGGTGAGATTTGAACTCGTGACTTTGGCATGAGAGGTATGGATGTTAACCACTACACCGGGGTCACCCCCACGCGGTAGACTGTTAAGGATCATCCTCAGGATCTTGTTCTGAATCCTTTGTAGTTTGAGGTGATGAGAATGTGCGCAGCTCTCCGAGATTGGCAACCCGTACTCTATGACGGGAAGGATTATTTGCTTGTAGACAGCGAGCTTGTTTTTCAGGGATAGGGTGAATCTCCTATTGATTAGCGGGTACAACGACCTTATCAAGATGTTGCATTTTGTTTTTTTTTGTCATTTCAGGGAGAGTCAGTTTCCTGTCGAGTGTTAGTCCGAGGTAGACTACCTCTTTAGACCGCTTCACCACTGTGCCGTTTAGGCAGATTTTATTATTCTCAGACGGAACAAGCTGGGAGATTTTGAGTGTGGAAAAATTATGACCTGGGTCTTCGCCACGTTGATATGGATCTTCCAGCTGTTGAAATACTCAGACAGGACATCCAAGCCTCTCTGGAGTTTGGTAGTCAGAGCTCCGATGACCCTACCCTTGTAGACGATGGATGTGTCGTCTGCGAACAAAGACAACGATCCATCATGAGGAAGATCGGAAGATCGTATCGATGCAGCCAGGTCATCATGCTAGATATTGCCAAACACTTTTTCAACGTCTAACAATGCCATAGCAGATGTTTTTGAAACAGCCTTGTTCCGTCTAAGAATGTTTGTTACTCGGGTCAGTTGGTGGACGGTTGATCGACCTTTTCGAAAACCAAACTGCTCCTCGAGTAAGATGTTGTTTTCTTCGGCAGATGTTAGAAGCCGGCTCTAAACTGCCCTTTCGAAAAGCTTGGATAACCCTGAGAGAAGGCTGATGGGTCGGTAACTTGAAGGAGAGGAAGGATCCTTCCCAAGTTTCCGAATGGGGATGACTTTAGCTCACTTCCAGCACGGTGAGAAGTAGCCAAGTCGGAGGCACTGATTTAAAATGGTTTTAGAATATGGAACTTAAGTGCTTGAACTCCAGATTTAGGATGTTGTCGAAACCTTGTTTTTGGAAGTTTTGATATAAGCCAGCAGTTCGTCAGCCATGATCTCGGATTCCTCGGGAAGGATGTTAGGAATCTGGTGGAGATTGGTTACATTTTCAGCAACCTCAGCTTCGTGAGGGCTGGTGATGTTTTGTCCGAGATTGTGGGAGCTGACCAAATGTTGACCTATCGCGGCAGCCTTCTCTTCAGGTGTTATCAGGTGAACCACTGAACCGACGGGACAATTCAGTGAAACGAGCGGTGGAATAGGCCTCGGTTTAGTTTTGAGGACTTTTGTTAGTTTCCAAAAGGGTTTTGCACAATCTGGTAAGGAACGGATGTTATTGGCGAAATTTTCATTTCTGAGTTCCACCATTTTGGCTTTGATAAGTTTGGTAAGACGGTTGGAATGAGTCTTCTAGGTAGGCAGTCCAGTTCTCTGGTACTGCCTATGCATGGCGTTACGGAGTGATACGAGAAGCGAACGGACCTCAGTTTAAATACGTAATGCTACATGTAAAGTTATTGTCATTCCAAATTGAAATGTATCTGGAATTGGTTCAGCCCCATAATGCAAATCATCCAAAAAGTTGATGTTAATAATATTATCGAACGTCATTTGCTAATCTGAGCTGACAAATGAGGTGGTCATAGCCATCGCTATCAGAGGTCGTACGAACATTAGTAAAGCATGGGAACCGAAGATTGCCTGTTTCGATGGGCGTCAAAGCTGAGTTCAAACTTAATAGTGGAATTGGCACCAAGGTGATGCTCCGCACGAGAGCGGAATACAATCTGGCCGTAAAGCACCTGAAGGATTCCAAGGCGGAGTTCTTAATCCACGATATTCCCGGTGAGAAGCCCTTCAAGGTGGTCATCCGAGGTCTACCGAGCTACCACCCAAAGTTCATCTCGGATCAAATTAAGGACCACAAGCTGGTCCCAACTGCCGTCTACTGGATTACGCGAAGGGACAAGAACACGCAAAAGTACCCGGATTGCCTTTTCCTGGTACACTTCCAGAAGGGAACAGTGACGATGAATGCGTTGCGCTCCATCAACTCCATCATTGTGGGATGGGAGCCATACCAAGGCGGCCGTCACGACGTCACCCACGCGTTGCCTGAATTTCGGACATGGCATCCGAAACTGTCACATCAAGCCGCGGTGTGACAAATGCACACAAAACGCGAGGATTTCAAGTGGATCCGAAAGCAGGCGTCCACAAGAAACCAACCAGGACGAAAGAAAGAAAACACTCCGGCATTCAGGGTTAAGCAACATGACTAAAGGGCGAACACGAAATTATTGCGACACATTCAACAGGGCATAACTCTTTTACCATTGGGTAAAAATCAACCAAATTTTGCACACTTTCTCATTGATGTGTATTGTGTACATGCTGTCAAACTCGAAGTCGTGTTTTTCGATTCAACGAAAATGGAGGTGAACCAACGCGAGTTGAGAGAACAAATTCTTTCCAAACACCTGGAATTTCCTGACCTGTCGCACCGGCAGTTGGGAAAAATGTTGAACATTCACCATTCAACCGTCTCCAGATGAAGTAATGAAATTGAGTTGTTAGCGGAATGCTTTAATAAAACAGCAAAAAAGGTTATCTTCCATTTAATTCCACTTAATTAATTTTGGTATCCATGACAGATACGTATTTCGACTACAATGTGCAGTCTTCATCAGTGTCATTCCCACTAAAGAACTTATCAAAATCTAACCCCCTTAAGTACTCATCCCCTAGGTATAAAAGTCAAGGTATATAAATGAAACTACAATGTGTTGAATCGGAACCTACCTAACTAATTAAAACCAAAGATTTAAGTAAGCTAAAGGAGAAAAAACTATTCAACTCTCTAATAAGGAAAATCCCAAAGGCTTGGTAGCCATCATAATGAAGTAATGAAATTGGGTTGTTAGCGGAATGCTTTAATAAAACAGCAAAAAAGGTTATCTTCCATTTAATTCCACTTAATTAATTTTGGTATCCATGACAGATACGTATTTCGACTACAATGTGCAGTCTTCATCAGTGTCATTCCCACTAAAGAACTTATCCTTATGGGAATGACACTGATGAAGACTGCACATTGTAGTCGAAATACGTATCTGTCATGGATACCAAAATTAATTAAGTGGAATTAAATGGAAGATAACTTTTTTTGCTGTTTTATTAAAGCATTCCGCTAACAACCCAATTTCATTACTTCATTATGATGGCTACCAAGCCTTTGGGATTTTCCTTATTAGAGAGTTGAATAGATTTTTCTCCTTTAGCTTACTTGAATCTTTGGTTTTAATTAGTTAGGTAGGTTCCGATTCAACACATTGTAGTTTCATTTATATACCTTGACTTTTATACCTAGGGGATGAGTACTTAAGGGGGTTAGATTTTGATAAGTTCTTTAGTGGGAATGACACTGATGAAGACTGCACATTGTAGTCGAAATACGTATCTGTCATGGATACCAAAATTAATTAAGGTCTCCAGAGTGTTGAAGCGGTTCCAGGAGCGGTTGACGTTGGACCACGGCAAAGGAGCTGAAAGAAAACTGGGCCGGAGAACAAAAAGACGGAGGGAAAGGTGAAGCGGATGATTAAAGCAAATCCCAACGTCTCAAGCCGTGATTTGGCTAAAAAGATCGGCATGTCGCAGAGCTACGTCCAGAATGCAAAGAAGAGAGCTGGACTACATACATACAAGGTACAGAACTCCTCAAGCCGCGATGAGCGGCAACAATCGACGGCTAAAACTCGGGCACGGAAGCTCTACGAGAAGATGCTGACAAAATATGGCTGCTGTGTGATGGACGACGAAACGTATATAAAAGCCGATTTTAAGCAAATTCCGGGGTTGGAGTTTTTCACCGGCAAGAGCAAGTTCGATGTGGACGACAAATTTAAGAAGAAGCAAATGTCGAAGTTCGCCTCCAAATATCTCATTTGGCAGGCCATCTGCTCTTGCGGACTGAGGAGTGAGCCTTTCGTGACAAAGGGTACAGTAAATGGCGAGATCTACAAATCTGAGTGCCTCGAGAAGCGCCTTTTGCCGTTCTTGCAGCAGCACGACGAAGCTCCGCTATTTTGGCCAGATTTTGCCTCATGCCACTATTCTAAAAGTGTCCTGGAGTGGTATGAGGCCAATTCTGTCCATTTTGTTCCAAAGGACATGAATCCGCCAAACTGTCCGGAGTTGCGCCCGGTGGAGCAGTACTGGGCAATAATGAAGCGGGAACTTCGGAAGAGTAAGAAGACAGTCAAAGACGAGAAGGACATGTTAAGAAAATGGAAAAAAAAAACTGAGAAACTGGTACCGGATGACACTGTAAAGACTTTGATGGAGGGCATCAAGCGAAAATGCGTTCAATTTTACACTCAAGGCTCCATCGATTAACTTTTCTTTTGATTTTTGAAGTAAATATATGTATAAAACTACCCTAAAATTTTGGTTTGATTCTAAACATTATAAGAAAATTGGCATGACATTTTCGGTGTCGCAATAATTTCGTGTTCGCCCTTTAAGCAAATCCACGGGTGCAATCCGGCCTTCGCTAAGAAACTTTTTGTGTTTCAGCTGTACAAAGCTCTCTATCCCCCTGGATTCTGGAGACAATTACCAGCACAAAACGCCAATCCCGATCTCTTCTCTGCCGATGAACTGATGAAGATTTTCGTCGACATGACCAGCGCTCTTCGTTAGTACCGCAACAAGCCCGAACAGGTCCAAGTGCTCGGTAAGTTTATCATTCAATATGGCGTCTAAACCGTTAACTCTAGATAGAGCTGGAATTAGGGCGTAACAACTTTTGTAAACAATGACTTCTATCGATGATTTCTAGGAATTCAAGGCACGCCCACGCAAACCAACATAACCATCAGATAAGGGAAGTCTTCTCCTATCCGATGGTGATGTTGATTTGCGTGGACGAGCCTTGACTTCCTAGAAATCATCATTGTTTACAAAAGCTGTTACGCCCTAATTCCCGCTCTATCTATAACTATCGTCACTTGGAACGTTTGCTGTGTACGAGCAAAAAAACTCGAGCTTGCTGACTTTCTCCACAAGCACAATATCGACGTGGTCTTCCGATGAGAGACCCATCTCAAATCTGGCGACAGCTTTTGTTTGTCTGATCACAACATTATCCGACTTGATTGCACCGACTACCACCACGTCAACTGGGTCCAGTTTGTACGTGTGGTTGACCGGAACATCGACGAAAATCCGCCACTTGACACCGTAGAGGACATCGATCAGGCGCTGGAAGGACTTCACCAGGCTATATCCGTGGCCGACGAGACGTGTGTTCGGCAAGTTCCTGTGAGGGGTAAGTTTGTTGCCATTGATTCCAACACCCAATTATTGATTCGTTTAAGAAATGATTGTAGAGGGCAGTTTCAGAGGACTGGTGATCTGCGCAAAAAACGTGAAATGGCCGATCTGAGCAAGGAGATTACTTCCAGAATGGTCTCCCTCCGAAACGAAAGTTTCAGGCGCGTTGTCCAGAATCTGGACGACAACTTCAAACCATTCTGGAAGGTAGCCAAGGTCTTGAAGACTCATCTCAAACCCGTTCCATCTCTTAGAGTCGAAAATGATGACGATCGGCTCAAAATCAACCCGCAGGAGAAAGCAAATGCGATTGGCAACCACATTGTTTCGTCGCATCTGCTTGGCTCCATCATCCAAAGTCCACTTGAAAATCAGGTTGCACAATGTGTACAAAACATGGATGCCTCTCCTTGTGTCGTCCCCCCCCCGGCAGAAAATATTATGGGGGAGCAGATTTGCTCAGCGCTGAAAAACACCAAGAACACATGAATGCTCCCGGGTTTGACGGTATATTCAACATGGTATTGAAGAAGCTGAGTACGAAAGTGTACTCGCTTTTGACTGCTATCTTCAACATATGCTTGGAACTGCACTACTTTCCAAGTATCTGGAAGGTAGTAAAAATCATACCAATCCGCAAACCCGGCAAGGATCCATCACTACCTTCCAGCTACAGACCAATCCTTTCAGCACTGAGCAAGTTGTTCGAAAAACTAATTCTCAACTGTTTACTTAAGTTTGTCGAGAAGAATTACATTCTCCTTCCTGAACAGTTTGGGTCTAGGAAGGGCCATTCCACAAATCACCAGCTAGTTCGGGTGATGAATAACATCCGAAGTAACAAAGCTGTATCCAAGTCCACAGGCATGGCATTGTTAGACTTTGAAAAAGCGTTTGACACCGTCTGGCACAACGGACTTGTGTACAAGCTTTGTAACTTCAACTTTCCACCACATCTTGTGAAAATCACCCGAAACTACCTCCAGCAAAGGTCGTCCAGGGTATCGTTGAATGGTTGTAATTCAAACAAATTTTCCATTCTAGCAGGTGTTCCGCAAGGAAGTCTGTTGGGTCCTTTGCTATACAGCATCTACACTTCCGACATTTCTCCCTTGGGCAACGGTTGCATGTTCTTCCTTTTCGCAGATGATACCGCCGTAACCGTCAAGGAAATGATGCCTCGTGAAATAACAAACAAGCTTCAACGATGCATTGACGGCTTTGCTGATTATGCCAACACGTGGAAAATCAAAATCAATGCCTTCAAAACACATGTTCCTCCATCGGCAATCGCCCCAACTGAAACCGGCTCCATCTTGTACTGTAATCATGGATGGCACAAGGGTTGAGTGGTCCACCGAAGTAACCTATCTCGGGATGTTGTTCGATGAAAAGCTCCTCTTCCGTTCGCATGTAGAGGAAACTGTAGTCAAGTGTTCTGCCTTGGTTAGGTGTCTGTATCCGCTGATTTGCCGCAGATCCCGCCTCTCAAGGGTTAACAAACTGGTTGTCTAGAAACAAATCATAGCACCTGTGATCCTCTACACAGCTCCGGTGTGGGAATCATGTGCTCAGACTCACAGGAACAATTTTCCGAAGGCTGCTATGCTGAACAAGGTAACATGTTTGGATTTGGGGGCGACCCCGGCGTAGAGGTTAGCATCCATACCTCTCACGACAAAGCCACGAGTTCAAATCTCACCCATGGACAAGTCACGAATGGCCCAAGAGCGTTATAATGACTTTAAAAAAAGAAAGTTTGGTTTTTGGAAAGTGATCGATTGTAGTATGAAATTCTTTTAGAAACCTTGAACTTTAAAAACACTTGGAATCTGAGCTTGAAAATGAAACTTACGATCTGTCTTAAAAAAAAAACAAAGGAATTTCGATGAGAATTGGCATAATTCAAAAGTTATTCCAAAGAGAAGACCGAGGAGACTAGAACGTAATTCTGACGAGAAATTCAAAGGCTTTGTGAGGAATGTTTCAGGTATTTTTTTTATAATTTAAACGTAGTTATACGTTGAATTACATGGTTTCATGGAAAATTTCTAGAAGATTGTGAGGAACTGTCCAGAAAAATTTCAAAGAATCTCAAAGAAAAACTGAGGATAATTCAAAAAAATGTCCAAAACTTCACAACTTCAAGACAGAGTTTCAAAGCAATGTTGAAAGGAATTTCTAAGGAATTAAGTCATAAATTTCAAGAGAATTGTGATAATAATTTGAAAGAAATTTGAATCTGATGTAGATTCGATTCCAAAGGAATCCTAGGGAGAATTTTAAATTTGCGACAGCGTGTTATTTAGCAGTAGTTTTGAGTCACATTCCATGAAAGTTCAAACTTGCAGCATCTGAGGATACATTTTTTTATAATTTGTTTATTTGTCGAAGCTCATTTTCAGTAGCTTCACGGAGTCTGAATCAAGTTTTTGTTTCACAAAATTACTTAAGACTAAAGTCGGGGACCGATTCATCTTAGGATTGTGTCATGGGAGTTTTGAGGAGAATTCAACAGAATTAAAACAATATTTATAACGGAATTTTGGGATAATTTGAAGGAAATTGATAAACAAATTTTAACGGGATCTTACAAGGGGTGAGACAGCTTTGCTTTGAGTTGCTTTTTTTGCAGCAAGTAACTCGCGAGTAACTCACTGTACCTCAAAATTTAATCGACGTTCATCGATGTTTTTGTCTGGTTACTCCTTGGCTTACTCCGTTTATCCCTTTCACATATGAGTTTGTTTGTAAACAAAATAGAATTTTTTGGCTACTGAAACGATGTGAATTCCAGATTTTGTTCAGAAAAATGGCTTGAACGATGCTGGAAAAGCTTCGAAAGGGGGAGCATTGGCGTGGATTTTCATCTGTTTCTCTGTGCCGATTGTTGTGGAAGTGCTTTTTGTTCGTATTCCTCCGTTTCAAAACGTTGAATGTGAATTAGCTGTAGGTAGGTGGACATATGCGATTTGCTCTCGTAAAATAACTGCAGAAATCGTTTTCAGATGTCCACCGAAGAGAACGTGAAATAGTTGTGGGAAATCACTGACATACATAGGAAATATCTCCCCTGTTGGATGAAAACCGATTAACATCAGATTTCCAATTCCAGCTTCGAAGGAAACGCTGCCAGCCACTACCCCAGAATGTTCAGCCAGAGCATCAACACAGTCGACACTGCTGAAGTCGAAAAGGAGGAGGACGATGAAGAAGCAGCTGCCAATGTTTCCGGTGAGTACGATCCTCATCCGGACTTCAAACCCATCATCGATCTACCCGACGAAATCGAAGTGAAAACCGGTGTTCTGCGTTCGCTTCAAGCTACTGCAGATGGTTTAGAAAGAGTGGTAGGAAAGGGTTCTTGGCGATCTCAAGATTCTCAAGAGTAAATCCAATCCAACCAAGTACAGCATCATCGCTATTGACTTTGCTGACGAGAAACCGAAGAACGAAACATGCTCCGAATATAATGAATGATAGTTAAAAAAAATGTTCAACTTCTGTTCAACTTCAACGGAGACTTCCTTCGACGGTGGTGGCAGAATCTCGGTGGTGTATCGCAGAAAACGGCCCATTTCACGATCGCAGTTTCATCTAGTGGCAGTTTGTTAAACGATGGGAACGGGATTTGCTTCGACAAGTATCGCAGGACGGCGGGGTACGTATAATTTGGTGGATCTGGAGTATTTGGTCAGGTGGAACGAGTTCTTTTACCACTTCAAGCCAGTTGTTTGTTGTTGATTTGCTTGACAGCAGTTTTTCGGCTTGGCACCTTCATATGTTCCTGTGATGTGAAAAGTTAGAATGCAAATGACAGTTATCTTGCTCACTGAGCAGTGTGAGTTACTCGAGGTGCCTCAAAAGCAACTCTAAAATTGCTCATGATTAGGAACTGTCTTACCCCTTGGCATCTTATGAACAATTCGACAAAAAATTTGAAAAAAAAAACAAACTCGAGGGATTTCGGAAAATAATTCTGAGGATGGAAAAGAAGAAATTCTGTTTCAAAGAAATCCTGACAAATACTTCAAGGGTATTCTGAAAAGCGTTCTGATAAGTAATCCAAATCCAATTTAATAATAGATTCAAATGAATTCTATGGCGGATTCCATTTCGGAGGATAATTTCTTGCGAACCATGAGGAAGATTTCGAGAGACTTCTGAAGGAGAATATCAAAGAACTTATGAAAACATTCTAACGAAACTTTTGAAATGAAGCTCATTGAAATTATTAAAAAAATTACAAGAATATTTTAAAGAGCATTTTAACAGAATTTTGACCAAATGCTTAGGGAATATCAATATGAAATTCCAGGTACAATTTTGAAGATATTCAGGATGTTTTGAAAAAAAAAACTAACGATTGGGAAAATTATATAAGTTTGAGAAACTTCATAGGGAACTTTTATTAATTTTAAGAAACTTCTTAGAAGTTCTTCTTTCAGCTTCAGGGTACTT